CAACAACAACAACAACAACAACAATTGCATCACTTGAGATCGGCGAATCCACAGAGACGTCCGGACAAGAGGAGGGCTGACGCGGACAATGGGCCAGGTACTTTTCACCATTTTTGAAATGTATATTTACGTTGCAAATGTTTCGCCAGAGACAAAGAAACTATCCTTTGTCTTCTCAGCAGCAATTGCAGAGAAGAAGAAGAACAAGAAGAAGAACAAGACTCACTCTTTCGCGAGTTTCGTAATTTTACTTACTAGTCGGAAATGAAATATCTTGACCAATGTTGCAAACTGTTTTAGTTTTTCAAATCTTATCGCGAGTTTCGTCCTCGCTGATTTCTCGCGAAGCCTACCGATTAACGTTTCTTCTGTTTCTTCGTCATTGGATGAAAGAAAGAGATACGCGGAGAAGGGAGGATGTGGAAATGTAATTCAACCTTTGATTGCTGTCGAACGTGTTATCCGCTTGATATTGCAACTTCCAATGTATTATAGTATACTTGCATCAGGAACTTTATTGAAGAAATTTGATGACTCGTTGTGATGGTGGTGTTGGTAATTCTCGAGTGTCGACTGAATACTTGCTTAGGAGATGTAATGCAATTTTCGCTACGCGCGACGCGAGCAAAGACACGGTCGAAAGAAAGAAAAAAGAAAGTAACGTGATCATCACTGTCAAAGTCAAATTTCATCAGCCGATCTTGCGCGCAGCAAGTTCTGCACGATTGCCGCGTAATCGGTAGGAGAGTGAAAACACAGAGCAGATGCACACGCAGATCCGACGCGACGCATTCCTTTCACTGCTGCTCATTTTACGCTTCTTCTTCCCGTGTGTCACTTGTGTGTCTCTTCCAATTTGACGGTGTGTGTGTGTGTGTGTGTGTGTGTAGGCGAGAAAGGAAATAATCGTGATCCAACAACGACGTGTGGCGAAAAGTTGCGAAATGAAAATGTGTCAGTTTGCTGTCTTTTCAATTGCGCAGCGCGCAAAAGAGCATCCTAAATAAGTCTGCAGGGAGGAAAGAAAGATTTGCTCCGATTGCGCACGTATATATTTAACTGTAAAAGTAAAGATGGAGTAGTTGCAACGTGCGGCGAAGAGAGCATTATTGGATCGTTGAGATCGTTCGTATCGTATAATAACTCGTGATAACTTCTTTGCATGGAAGGCGGCTTCGACGTCTACAATATCGAGACAGCGATGCCGAAGATCGATCTGGACGCGATCGAGTCTCACCTGAGAGCTGCACGCGAGGAAGAACGACGGGTGAGTGTAAATATTCCTTTGCCGTCTTGTAAGACTGTGTTGAAAGAAAAAAAGAAACTCGGTGGGGGAAAGAGTTAAATTTACGATAATCCAATCGAAAGCCTCTACTCTACCTACGATACCTATATGTTTGTCTTTTTATACGTGTTTTCACATTGTCAGGGCCATCAACTACGAGTAAGTAGTTTCTTTCAATTCGTACGTCGAGAGAAGCTATCTTCGTCGAATTTCAAAAAAGTATCAATTTTCAAAATGATATTGACAGTGAGTGAACCTGAAGTTTTCGCTTCGTCTCGAGTACCGATCTTGATCAGATCTCGTCACCGTCCGAATTTTCAGTCGAAATTCAGTCATGTGCTGTGCGATTCTGATTTTTACCGATTTTTCGAGATTTCG